CAGGACCGACAGTAGTAGCCTCAGCGTCAACACCCTCAGCAGATCCAGCTCCAGTCGTACCCGTAGGCCCAGCAGCTCCAGTACTCCCAGTACGAGCACCTCCGGGACCCGCGGCACCAGCACCCTCAGTTGCCGAAGAACCTCCAGCACCAGCAGCACGCCTCCAGCGCCTGGCAAACCACTCGCGCAGCTCCTGTGGAGAGAGTGGCTCCCGCCGAGACGAAGAACCCGGAGAACCTCCAGGCTCAGCACCGCCAGACGCCACACGAGCAGGCCCAGCTCCCTCAAGCTCCGCACCCCCAGGCTCAGCACCTCCAGGCGTAGCACCCCCAGGCTCAGCACCCCCAGGCGTAGCACCCCCAGGCTCAGCACCCCCAGTAGTAGCACCCCCAGGCTCAGTACCCCCAGGCTCAGCACCCCCAGTAGTAGCACCCTCAGGCTCAGCACCCCCAGGCGTAGCACCCACACGCTCAGCACCCCCAGAGTCAGCACCCCCAGGCTCAGCACCCTCAGCAGCACCAGAGTCACCAGTAACCTCGACAGGCTCGACTGCGTCTACCTGGGACATACCTGAAGGGGCAGGACCCTGAGGGGGGAGGGGGTCTACCGGGGGGGGACCTGGCACAAGGAAGAGCGGTGGCGGGGGGAGGGACGGAGTGCGGTAGGGGAAGAGGCGGTAGTAGGGGACCGACTCGTCAAACGTGACGTCCTGGGAGGACAGAACACGGCGAGAGGTGGGGTGTTAGAATTGCCACCCTGGCGCGTCAGGGGGGAAGCCAAGGAAGACGCAAGGAGCAGCACGAGGGGACAGCTTGTCCGCAGACAAGTCGCGGACAAACGCCCGAGATCCCCAGACACGGAACGCAGACGCATCGCCAACCTTCCCCGTCAACAGCAAAGCTGGGGAGGTCTCCGGCATGGAGACCCTGGTCGTCAACCACCAGCGGGAAGTAGCTCTCGTGACCCTGTCCACGGACGCGGGCCGGGCCCCACACGTCCATGTGAAGCGTCTGCAGCGGGGCCTCTGTCGGAGGAAACTGGGAGGAGTGAGGGGCAGCCCGCTGCCGCCCCTCGACACAAGGGACGCAGGTAGGGCCGGGCCCCGGAGGAAGGGGAGGGAGGGACCGGGGAAGACCAGAGACAAGGACACGGGAGGCCATGCCTCGGAGACGAAGCAGGGAGGAGTGACCAAGGCGGTGGTGCCAGAGGAGAGTCTCGTGCGACAGGAGGCGACACGAACAGGGGGCAGACTCAGGACCAGACCTGGATGCTGCAGCAAACACCTGACCCGACGCAGCTACCTGACCAGACGCAGTGACTGGAGGAGACGCAGTGGTCAGTGTGTGGCTCGACCCCGGCTGACGTGTAAACGTGGCCAGGTGTCGGCCTGTCCGAGCGTCCGTGCAGTGGGTCACCCGCTGACTCGCAGGAGTGAACTGGTGAACCCCCGCATCCTGTAGGTCAGCAACACTCACCAAGTTCGTAGAGAACGAGGGGAGGTAAAGACCAGACAGGGTGCCAGAGGGGGCCGCCGGACACGGGAGGACAGTGGAGAAGTGAGCAAGGACAGGACCCCCAGAGGGGTCTGCCAGAGAGACTGCAACTGGCCGGCCAAGCGGCGTGAGTGTGGTGCGGTCTCGAAAGAAGGAGCGAGAAGCCCCCGAGTCAAGGGTGAAGGTATGGGAGGCCGAAGCCGACGCAGTACCTGAGAGAGCAGACTCACCAGCACCTGAGTGAGCAGACGCACGAGCACCTAGAGCAACAGCCTCGCTAGCACCTAGAGCAGCAGCCTCACCAGTACCTAGAGCAGCAGTCTCAATGCCCGGGTCGGGCGGAAAACACCGGTAACAGTCACCCTCATCACTAATAGTCACAGCATACATGGCAGCAAGAATAGCATCAAAGTCAAGGTCAAAGACAGCTACACCCGCCCTAGACAGCTCGCCCCAGCGGGGGATCTCAGTGGCCTCAGGGAACTGGTGACACCAAGCGTCCTTCAGGCGGCCAAAGCAGCGCTGGGTGGAGTGCGCACTGCTCACCCGCGCGGTCGCCGGTGCGTAGGACGTAGGTGCACGGACCAGTACCCCCACCCCGCTGGCGTGCAGCGTACCACTCACGGAGCTGCTGAGGGGGGGGGATGTCACGAGTGCGCTGCTGCCGCTGCTGTTGCTGCTGCTGGCGCTGACCACCACCGGAGCCGACCCTCTGCCCAGCGCCACCCCGACCAGCTCCACCTCCTCCGCCGCCGCCTCCTCCACCGCCGCCACCTCCGCCACCTCCGCTCCCACCGCCACCGCCGCCGCCGCCTCCGCCTCCACTGCCGCCACCGACAGTTCCACCCCCGCCACCACTCCCACCACCACCCCCACCCCCTCCACTGCCGCCACCGCCACCTCCGCCACCCCCGCCAGCCCCTCCAGCACCCTTGCCCCCCTTGCCCTTGCCGGTGCGGCGTCTCCCGCTCGGGGCAGACGCAGCGCCGACCGACTCGAGACCAACGAGGTCGGCCGCAGCAGCAGAGGCAACAGAGGGCAAAAGGGGGGAGGGGGAACACCCCTCAAAGACGGGGGTGCGAGGGTCACCACGAGAGGCTCCTACAGCGACTATGCTCTTCTCTGCTGCTAGGAGGGCCTTCTCGAGGAGGTCAACGGTGAGAGTGGTGGGGCAAACTGAGAGGAAGTGGTCCCTGACTACACGAAGGGAGTCAGGGAGCCGGGTGACTATGTAGTAGAGGGTGATGTACATGGGGGGGGGGGGTTCTTGGCGCAGAACTCAGCAGGAAGCGCAGCGCGGTAGCGAGTGTCACTAGTGCGGAGGTGCGTAATGAGGTCAGCGACTGTGGGAAAGGCAGCAAGGTCAGGGAAGAGGTACGGTAGCATGAGGCGGCTCAGTGCAGCAGTGGCAGGGGAGGAGTAGTGCGCAACTATAGCGTCGTACAAGGTGTGAGCACTCTTGTACTGGCTAAAGTGCGCACGCTCAGAGGTAGGCAGGTGGCGACGCACAGCTAGACGTGCAGCAGCATCGCGTGTGGCCCACTGTGAGCGAACAGTGGCGTCGGCATCAGCAGCAGGGGCAGGAGAGGCACCAGAGGTGAGGTCAAAGAGGGAGAGACCGTCTGCCCTATCGCACTGTAAGAAAAGCTGCAGGTCATCTACCCAGACGTCAAAGTCAATGGCCCGACCCTCAGCGTCAAAGGCGAGGACACTAGGGGTAGCCATGACAGCAGTAGAGTAGCAGTGTGAACAGTAGGGTAAGGGCAGTGCAGTGATAGAGGCGCTGCTCTTACCGGACAGGGCGGCTCGGGCGGCTCGGCGGCTCGGCGGCTCGGCAGGACGGCGGCTCGGGCGGCTCGGCGGCTCGGGCGGCTCGGCGGCTCGGGCGGCTCGGGCGGCTCGGGCGGCTCGGCAACTCGGCGGCCCGGGCGGTTCGGCGGTCGGCTGCTGGGCGGCTCTGCGGCTCGGCGGCTCGGCTGCTGGGCTGCAGGACGGCTCGGCGGCTCGGGTGCTCGGCTGCTGGGCGGCTCGGCGGCTGGTGTGGTTGGTGACGACCGCGGCAGCAGTCGCAGAAGCTGTGGCGACTGCTGCTGCAGAGACGGCTGCGGCTGCTGCCTCAGGGACGGCGGCTGCCGGCCGCTAGGGGCCGCGAAGAGCGGCGGAGAGGCCGTGAAGGGCGCCACGAGGGGCCGTCGAGGGCGGCGACAGGCCGTGAGAAGGCCGCGGAAGGCGGCTCGAGGGGCCGCGAGGGGGGGCCGTAAGGGGCCGACTGGCGACGGGAGGGGCCGAAGGGGCCGCGGGAGGGCCTGTATGGGTAGCGCGAGGGGCCGTAAGGGCGGCACGAGGGGCCGTAAGGGCGGCACGAGGGGCCGTGAGGGCGGCGCGACGGGCGCGACGGGCCGTAAGGGCGGCGCGACGGGCCGTAAGGGCGGCACGAGGGGCCGTGAGGGCGGCGCGACGGGCGCGACGGGCCGTAAGGGCGGCGCGACGGGCCGTAAGGGCGGCGCGACGAGCCGTAAGGGCGGCGCTAGGGAGCCGTGAGAGGGCCGCTAAGGGCGACGCGACGGGGCCGTGAGGGGCCTAGCGAGGGCGCGACGGTAGGGAGAGCACACAGGGCGCGACTCGGGCCGGAGCGAAGCGCGCTCCGGGCAGGAAAAAAAATTTCGTGGTGGTGGGCCCTAGGAATCGTTCCCACTAGGGAACCTGCTCGATACCATGAGAAGAAACGAGGAATGAGAATGACTAAGGGAAAGTTGGGTACAAAATGTAAACCCTAGAAAACTGTACCCCATATGTGCTACCCCACTATAGCCTACAGTAGCTATGTCATATAAATCTGACAGCCTCGTTCTCCTCCAGTGCTGTACGTAGACAACAAGGCCATGCTGGCCTTGTGTCGAGAGCAGAGACTGGAGCACAGAACGAAGCACATTGCTCTCCGCTACTTCCTTGCTCGTGAGCTACAGCAGCGTGGTCAGCTGCGGCTTGCGTACGTGGCCTCTCAGGCCAACACTGCTGATATCTTCACCAAGGCACTTGCGCCTTGTGATCATCAGCGTTTCTGTACTCAGCTGGGCCTTGTGCCCACCTTGCCTCACTTGCTCACCCCTTGAACTTGTTTGTACTGTTGCATATATATATACACCTGCTCTTGCTTGTCTAGCCTTATATATATATGTAATCCTGCATGTGAACTGGCCTTGTGGCCTTGAACTTGTGCTCGGAATGTGTGGTGACTTTGTGATCCACCCTGAGCTTGCTTTGCTTTGCTTGACTGGTCTTGTGACCCCTTGTTCTCCCCCACTTTGCCTATGGGGGTGTGTCAGATTTATATGACAGAGCTACTGTAGGCTATAGTGGGGTAGCACATATGGGGTACAGTTTTCTAGGGTTTGTATTTGTACCCAACTTTCCCTTAGTCATTCTCATTCCTCGTTTCTTCTCACAAGAAGCCGGGACATACTTGGGTGAAGTGCTGGAAGCGGCCCAAGTGGTGGACCCCCGAGCATGAAGATGGTGAGAAGAACCAACCGCATGGCGTTGGTTATGTCGCAGAGACCGCAATGGAAGGGGAACAAGAATGGGAGCGAGCTCCTCGACAATTCTTCCACGTGCAAGGGAATAGGGGAGATGAGAAGGCATCTGCCAAGAAGGGAGCAGAGCCGCCTCCTCTTAACACATGGATACTAGACTCCGGAGCAGCGCATCATATGACCCCGAGGGCGGACCTCCTATTGAAGATTGGTGCAACGAGCATCACTGAGATGAATTCAGGGTGTGGGCACAAGATCAGAGTAATGGGAGTCGGCAAAGCAGCATTCAAAGGAGGTGATGGGAAGCCGATAATCTTGGAAGATGTGCTTTTGGTGCCGGAGCTGAAGGGGAATTTAATTTCCCTTAGGAAGATGGGGCTTGCAGGCGTGTGTACAGCAACTAAAGGAGCTGAAACCTTCAAGGGGCAGCTCGGTGATCGTGTGCTGTGGGACCTGCATGAGGACAAGGATCTTCGTGATGAACTGTGGCATGTGCCGGTGGTGCCGTGGAATGAGGTGGCACCTGTGAAGGAGAAGGGGAGCTGCGGGTGCAAGGGAGAATGTGCTGCAGTGGCTGCTCAAACGATCAAGCAGCTAAAATCAACGGTGGAGATGCTGGTGCAGCAGTTGAAGGAGGTTAATGCTCGACTTGCAGCGGCTGAAAAGCGAAATGCAGCAAGTGCTGATGAGAAGAGTGATGCTGGAGCCAAGGGGAGTGAAGTCATAGTTGCTGCTGTGGACCAGGAAAAGGGAGTGTACAAGGATGACACTTATGAGCAGGAGAAACCCAAGGCCGTGGTGGAGCTCAAGGAAAAAGTTGTGAAGGAGAAAACAATGGTGCTGAATGTGGCAAGCATTGCAGCTGATGGAACCGGGGTGATGGGAGAACCCAAGGTGCAGAGGAGCGTGGCGGAAGCGGATACAACTTTGGGTGGTAATGATATTACATCGGTGAAGCTACAAGCAGCTGATGTCATGAAAGCTGAAAGTGTGGGGGAGCGTGAGGCAACCTTTCCTAAAACTGGAGTTGGGATCGGCAATGCAGTGGAGCCGGTCGATAGTGAGAAGCATGTTGAGGGAGTTGAATAGCCGTCAGGTTGAGGGGGAGTTTGTTGGGTGCAAAATGTATTTTGCACGTCAATCTGTCGCCTATTCGTCGAGCAAGGTGAAATTTGAAGGTTTTTGTTTGAAGGTAATTTGTGTTTCGTGGCATGCGCATTTGTGTGCTTTTCAATTTGGCATTTACGGTTTATGAATCGCCTTAGCGGTTCATAAGTTATGTGCATTTTAGTGTGAAGTTGCATTCATACGTTTTCATGATTGTTCGTATGTGTTTCGTGTTGTTCGTGTCGTGTCATGAATGTTCGTGAAGTTCCGAGTGATCATGTGCTTTCATGAGCCTTTGCGCGTTCATGTCTGTTCGTGTAACCTTCGTGAGCGTTCATGTATCTTCATGTTCGTTCATGTGCTTTCATGTTCATGACTGTTTGTGTTTCGTTCATGAATGTTCCAGCTTTGTTCGTGAGTTTTCATATGTGTTCATTTGAGTGGCGAGTGTTTTTTGGGTGCTCGGATTTTCTGTGGCGCTGGTCAAGGTAAAAGTGCGCGAGAATCTGGACCGCGCGTGTGGGTCCAGATCTCGCGTGTGGGTCCTGAGGGCCCACGCGTGTGGCTCGTACTGTTGCGAGCGCGCGCAGGGCGCACGTCCTGGCACTGTACAGCACGACCATTTCGGCTGGTCGTACATGATTGCGCACCTGAGGGGTGCGCGTGTGTTTCGGGAGGTGCCGAGGGATCCCGAGGGGTGCTCGGGATTGACTCGAGATTTCAGTTGTACAACTGAATCTCGAGTCTCGTCTTTTGTGACGTGGCACAGAGAACTTTCGCGGGAAAGCACCGCGCCTAACCGGACAGTTCGCTTTACAGGTACAAAACGGAAATATCCGTTTTACAACTCTAAACAGTGGGAAAACGGGAATTCCCACACGAGCGTTCATGATTCTACATGTGCGTTCGCGAGAGGACTCAGCAGGGGAATTTGGCAGACATGGAAATTGAAGATAGTTATTTCAAGGACTCGGATCAAGCCAAATGCAGCGGAAGTTTGGCAACCGTTTTTCCAGACAGCAAGGCGAAGTCCTAGAAATGCAGTTTATCAACTGTTTGCTATTTTCCTTTGCATGTGTGTTAGGCAAAATATATATATGCATGCTTGTGCGAAGTTGTAATCAATCTTTTGAGTGAATATTTTCTCTTTCAACGTATTGACGTGAAGAGAACTCTCTGCACACGACCAGTTCGTCGTTAACGCTGCGCATACAAGTTTTGGGAGTGCTCTAGTTCACGTTGTTGTTTTTACACTTAGTGTGTCCCTCTACAAAAAACGGACCCTTGGTTAGGGGCTGGCTTAGCCAGGCACCCGAGGACCCTTGGAGGTGACCCTGTGGGGACAACTAAAAGTGAATTAAAGGACGTGTATAGAGTTTCTAGATCCCAATAGTAGTCAACACTTAGTACCGCGAGTACGTGCGTTACTTACCCATATGGTTGGTACAAAGAGTAAGTGCGTTACTTACACATATGGTTGGTACCAAGAAATGTGCGTTACTTATCCATATGGTTGGTACCAAGAGTAGGTGCGTTATTTATCCATATAGTTGGTACCAAGAGTAAGTGCGTTACTTACCCATATGGTTGGTACCAAGTAAGTGCGCTTTTTACCCTTTTGATTAGGACCAAGAGTAGGTGCGTTACGTTCGCATATGGATGGTACCAATAATAAGTGCGTTACTTCCCTATATCGTTGGTACCAAGAGTAAGTGCGTTACTTACTCGTATGGTTGGTACCGAGAGTAAGTGCGTTACTTAACCATATGGTTGGTATGATGAGTAAGTGCGTTACTGACTCATATGGATGGTACCCAGAGTAAGTGCGTAATGTACCCATATGGCTACTAAGAGTAAGTGCGTTACTTACCCACATGGTTGGTACAAAAGATGTGCGATACTTACCTAGATGGTTGGTACCAAGAGTAAGAGCGTTACTTACCCATATGGATGGTACCAAGTATGTGCGCTTTTTTCCCATATGATTGGGACAAAGAGTAAGTGCGTTACGTTCGCATATGGATGGTACCAATAATAAGTGCGTTACTTCCCCATATCATTGGTACCAAGAGTAAGTGCGTTACTTACCCATATCGTTGGTATCGAGAGTAAGTGCGCTACTTAACCATATGGTTGGTATGAAGAGTAAGTGCGTTATTGACCCTTATGGATGGTACCCAGAGTAAATGCGTTAATTACCAATGTGGTTTGTACCAAGGATAAGTGCAAAACGTACCCATATGGTTGGTACCGAGAGTAAGTGCGTTACCCACCCATATGGTTGGTACGGAGAGCAAGTGGGTTTCCTCCAAATATTGTTGGTACCAAGAGTAAGTACGTTACTTATCTATATGGTTGGTACCAAGAGCAAGTGCGTTATTTGCCCATATGGTTGTTACCGAGAGTAGGTGCATTACTTACCCATATGGTTTGTATCAAGAAAAAGTGCGAAACTTACCCATATGGTTGGTACCGAGAGTTCGGGCGTTATTTACCCATATGGTTGGTACCGAGAGTAAGTGCGTTACTTTCCTAGATGGTTGGTACCAAGAGAAAGAGCGTTACTTATCCATATGGATGGTACCGAGTAAGTGTGATTTTTACCTATATGATTGGAACCAAGAATAAGTGCGTTACGTTCCCGTATGGATGGTACCAATAACAAGTGCGTTACTTTCTTATATGGTTGGTACCAAGAGTAAGCGCGTTACTTCTCCATATGGTTGGTACCAAGAGTAAGTGTGTCACTTACCCATTTGGTTGGTACCAAGAGTAAGTGCGTTACTTACCCATATGGTTGGTACCAAGAGTAAGTGCGTTACTTACCCATATGGTTGGAACCGAGACTACGTGCGTTACTTCCCCATATGGTTGGTACCAAGAATATGTGCCAAACTTAATCGTATGGTTGGAACCGAGACTACGTGCGTTACTTACCCATATGGTTGGTATCGATGGTAAGTGCGTTACCTGCAGGACGGCTCGGCGGCTCGGCTGCTCGGCTGCAGGACGGCTCGGCGGCTCGGGTGCTCGGCTGCTGGGCGGCTCGGCGGCTGGTGTGGTTGGTGACGACCGCGGCAGCAGTCGCAGAAGCTGTGGCGACTGCTGCTGCAGAGAAGGCTGCGGCTGCTGCCTCAGGGACGGCGGCTGCCGGCCGCTAGGGGCCGCGAAGAGCGGCGGAGAGGCCGTGAAGGGCGCCACGAGGGGCCGTCGAGGGCGGCGACAGGCCGTGAGAAGGCCGCGGAAGGCGGCTCGAGGGGCCGCGAGGGGGGGCCGTAAGGGGCCGACTGGCGACGGGAGGGGCCGAAGGGGCCGCGGGAGGGCCCGTAAGGGTAGCGCGAGGGGCCGTAAGGGCGGCACGAGGGGCCGTAAGGGCGGCACGAGGGGCCGTGAGGGCGGCGCGACGGGCGCGACGGGCCGTAAGGGCGGCGCGACGGGCCGTAAGGGCGGCACGAGGGGCCGTGAGGGCGGCGCGACGGGCGCGACGGGCCGTAAGGGCGGCGCGACGGGCCGTAAGGGTGGCGCGACGAGCCGTAAGGGCGGCGCTAGGGAGCCGTGAGAGGGCCGCTAAGGGCGACGCGACGGGGCCGTGAGGGGCCTAGCGAGGGCGCGACGGTAGGGAGAGCACACAGGGCGCGACTCGGGCCGGAGCGAAGCGCGCTCCGGGCAGGAAAAAAAAATTTCGTGGTGGTGGGCCCTAGGAATCGTTCCCACTAGGGAACCTGCTCGATACCATGAGAAGAAACGAGGAATGAGAATGACTAAGGGAAAGTTGGGTACAAAATGTAAACCCTAGAAAACTGTACCCCATATGTGCTACCCCACTATAGCCTACAGTAGCTATGTCATATAAATCTGACACAAATGGTTGGTACCAACAAAATGTGCGATACTTTCCCATATGGTTCGTACCGAGAGTAAGTGCGTTGCTTACGTATATGGTACCAAGAATAAGTACGATACTTACCCATATGTTTGGTACCGAGAGTAGGTGCGTTACTTACCCATATGGTTGGTACCAAGAGTAAGTGCGTTACTTACTCATATGGTTGGTACCGAGAGTAAGTGCATTACTTACCCATATGGTTGGTACCGAGAGTAAGTACGTTACTTACCCATATGGTTGGTACCGAGAGTAAGTGCGTTACTTACCAATATGGTTGGTACCGAGAGTAAGAGCGTAACTTACCCATATGGTTGGTACCAACAAAATGTGCGATACTTTCCCATATGGTTGGTACCGAGAGTAAGTGCGTTGCTTACGTATATGGTTGGTACCAAGAATAAGTACGATACTTACCCATATGTTTGGTACCGAGAGTAGGTGCGTTACTTACCCATATGGTTGGTACCAAGAGTAAGTGCGTTATTTACTCATATGGTTGGTACCGAGAGTAAGTGCGTTACTTACCCATATGGTTGGTACCGAGAGTAAGTACGTTACTTACCCATATGGTTGGTACCGAGAGTAAGTGCGTTACTTACCAATATGGTTGGTACCAAGGATAAGTGCGATACGTACCCATATGGTTGGTACAGAGAGTAAGAGCGTAACTTGCCCATATGGTTGGTACCGAGAGTAGGTGCGTTACTTACCCATATGTGTCACCGCATATGCACTTTATGCCTAGGCAATAACAGTAGTAAAGGGGTAAGGGAAGTAGTAAAAAGGGGATAACCGCATATGCATCTTAATTAGAATATGTGTGGTGTAGAGTGTAGCTAGGTTACTGTTTGACTAGGTGTAGAAGGAACGAAATAGGGACGGTTGGGAATTCTGGGGGGGAAAGCATCGAAGGGCGAAATGTGTGACAAAGGGCGAAATGTGTCCCAACCCCGAGCCGCACATTGGGAAATGTACAGCACTGGGTTGGTTTCGGTAAAGTCACACACTCTCCTCTACTCGTTGCTTGATTCTTGTTATTCTCTCGTATAAGTGGAAGTTAGCACTCTAAGCTCTTAGCACACAGTGATATGTTACCAAGAGGGATCCAGTGGGGTGAGGGAGAGATCTCGTTCATAACTAGAATCAAGTCTAGGCGTATAGAATGGATAAATATGAGCTGCGATGGGGCCGAGTCTTCACCCGTCGAGAGGAGGAAGGGCCGCGGCATGGGCGCTTGCAGGAGCGTGGGCGGTCCCCGGAGCGATCACCCCGGAGGCCGGCCTTCAGTGCGGACAGGATTCCAATCGGGCTGGCCTGACGAGAGGGAAATGCGGCGCATGACGAAGCGAACGGTAAAAGGCTCTCCGTGTCGACGAATGGCGCGCTGTGGCGGAGAAACATGTTTCACTTGCGCGGGGAGGACTGCCGTCACCGCGACGACGGGGTGTTCCGCTCCCCAGAAGCGGAGGTGCGGCGACGTGCCGAGCGAGGTCGCTGGCGGGGGAGGGAAGAACTTTCACGGAACCGAGGAGAAAGCTCTGGCCTCAGCAGAGCTGAAGGATATCCTCAGGATGAGCAGACGCCAAGAATGACAAAGACGAAGCAAGGGACGAGGAGGACGAGGGAGAGTACGGCGACGAGCAGGAGCACGGCAACGAGCAGGAGCACGACGGCGACCAGACAAGTGCGGACCCTCACGTCCCGAGCGGAGACGAGGAAGAGGAGCTCGCGGCAGCCACGGGAACCGCCGACTCCGCTGCGGCAGCAGAAGAAGAAGAGGAGGAGGCGCGGACGGAAGAGGCACGTGCTGCAGGTCCCAACCTCTTAGGGAGGCAGCACTCACGTGACGCGCTGCAGCAGGAAGGCCGCAATCAAGAGCAAGAGGCGCGCTCGGTGCAGCCGCGAGGATCGCGAGGGGGAGGAGAAGCTCAGCAGGCACGCACGCCAGTAAGCCAGCGACGGCGGGCGGGGCAGCGGGACGGAGGCTCGTGAACACCGAGGGAACCACTGCCGAGAATAGAGCGGTACGATGGCTGGGGAGAGATGCGTGGAGGTGGACAGGAGAGCGAGGGGCGCTCGGTGGCTCGACAGCGGGCACTTGGGGGAGAGCGGGGCAGGGAATACCACTCGCCGGAGCCGCCGTGGCTGCAGGAAGGGCGACGGAGGGGAGGATCACGCTCGCCGCGCCAACAACGGAAGTGGGAAATAAGGCCCAGTGGCGATTCGCGGTCGACCAACCGACGTCACTTGGGGGAAGGAAGGCAGGACGTGGCGGGACACTCACCGCCAAGCCTTTGGCAGCAGAGAAGGGGAAAGGAGGAGTGGTCACCACCCGCGACGAGGCGTCAACCGTATGAGACCGGCGCAAGGGAATGGGAGAGGAGTCACCACTCTCCAGCTCGGCGATGGAAGCGGGCGGGAAGGGAGGACAGTCAGTGGAGATCGTCAGGGGAGGCGCGCGGGGATCAGCAGGAGAGCAAGGCCAGAAGCGGCAGCCTGTCATACGGGGCCGAGCGTGCACGAGTGGCTAGAGAGGGCTTGGAGCGAGCTAGGCATGGAGGGAGGCATGGGAGACCGTTGGAAAGGACAAATGAATCATGGGGAGAGGGAAGAGGGGGCGCGGCTACGGCGGCAAGAGTGGAGGTGTCGGCCAGATTCTCGGGCGATCAAAGTGTTGGTGTAAGGGCCTAATAAACTCAAGCTATTAAGACTTTATCAAACTTAAAACCTCTCCTCGGGGTCACCTCCAAGGGTCCTTGGGTGCCTGGTACAAGACCAGCCCCTATCCTCGGGTCCGAGTTTGTAGAGAGAGGGATCAAGAGGGACTTAGTCAAAACAGCAAGACTACCTTGAACGTCGCGCAGCGTATCATGCAGACCGTCGATCGGATTAAGCTGAGAATTTCCTATATCGAAGCTCGCTCCAAGAGCTTTAAAATGAACCAAGTTGCCTCGCGAAAAGTACTGCCATTACGAAGTTATGGCTCGGACAGCGTTTTCCTAGTGTTGGAGTGCTAGCGTACTAGCGTTGACTCGGGTAGCATTCCGCCGTCGCACCGCGTAGAAACGAAATTCCAGGAAGGGAGGAATTCGCTTGAATCAAATTGACTATATCCAGGTACAAACAGAGAAAGAATAAATAGTTCTAGCTAGCAAGGACCTTGGGAATAAACCTGGGAACAACCAAGGATGATCCCAAATAATTCCAAGCAACAGAACCAACCTGGCTGGACAAAACAGCAGGTGGTAGGTTGGTAAACAACCTCTGGTTCTGTTTTTCCAACCTGGGAAAACAACAACCAGGTTCAGGTCCTAAAAACAGAACCTGTTTTGTCTTTGCCCAACCAGCCAAATGCTGGTTCCGCTGGTTTCCCCTGGCCCTGTAGCATGCAGATACAGACAAACAACATCCAACCTTCACCTAAATTGTACCCCTATAGTGCCTGCCCTGCTACACTATAGTCAACCAAACAAAACAGTACAATTTCGAGTTGGATAGAACTGAATCTGCGCAATCAAGTAAGCCGAACCGCAAAGCTTCCATCTTGGGTTCCTTTGCGAGCTCGTCCTTTCTGCTTGTACTGTTCATAGAGCGTACAATGTTATGCCGAAGCGCACAATGCGTGAGTACCTGCAAATGCTTCAAACGAAAATTGCGAAAACAAACAAACACACGAACATTCCATTCATACCCAAATGCATTCGCACACGCATACTCGTACAAACAGACGGCAGGATGTCGTGCAATGTGAATTTGCACCCAACACACTCCCCCTCAGCCTGCCGGCTGCATCCCCATCATTCCATACTAGTTCATGCTCATTCCACTCATGCGCACACAACGCCAATGAGGCTCATCTGCAAGCCTCTTGGTGAGGAAGTCTGCTGGCTGCTGGTGAGTCTTGATGTAGATCGGATTCACCGTCCCCCTCTTCACCTCCTTACGCAGCCAGTGCCACTTGATACGCATGTGCTTATTGAGCCCATGAAGCACAGCGTTCCTGGCCATTCCAAGAGCTCCCTTGCTATCACAAAACAGCGGCGTAGCAACCTTTTGCTCCTGGCCAATCTCCTCCAACAGCCTCCTCAGCCAAATCACCTCCTTCACCCCATGAAACATTGCCATGTACTCTGACTCCACGGAAGAGAGTGCTGTCTCCGTCTGCTTCTTTCACCTCCAACTAACCGGTCCTCCCCCAACTACGCAGATGTATCCTCCCACAGATGAGGAATCCTCCTTCTCAGAGGCCCACGTAGCATCGGTAAAGCAAGTGAGAAAGAGCTTGCCTTCTCCAAGCCTCTCCCCCTTCTCTTTCAGCACCTCAACCCCTTTCTGCTTCACCTGTGCAGATGCGGAGTATTGAACTCCAATGCTTGGGTGAGAGTTCAGATACTTCACCACACGCTCAGCTGCATCCACCTGCTCCTCTGATGGATTCTGCACCACCCTGGCCAGCTGCCCAACCGAGAAAGAGATGTCGGGCCTCGTGTGAACTGCTGCATACAAGAGGCTGCCCACCAAGGACTGAAATTGCTGCTGCTCCTCGGCTTCAACCCCTTCATCCTCTGCAGCTTTCACAAGCTTGAATTCTGCTGGCAGGGGAGTTGCAACCTTGCGCTCATTCTCAATCCCGTACTTCTCCCCCAGCTCCTTGATGAACTTCTCCTGGTGCAGCTTCAACCACCTGTGATCCAGATCCCTCTCCACGTGCATCCCGAGGTAGTACTTTACCTCCCCAAGGTTCTTGCACTTGAAGTTCTCCATCAGCTGCTGCTGCACCTTCTGGATCTCCTTCATGCTGCTGCTAAAGAGAAGAATGTCGTCCACATAGACCAGAAACAGCACCAGCTTCTCCCCCTCCCCCTTGAGAAAGAGGCTCTCATCACAGCTGCTGGTCCTGAATCCCATCTCCTCTAAAACAGCTGCCAACTTCTGGTACCAGCAGCGTGGCGCCTGCTTCAAGCCGTAGATGGACTTTTTCAGCTTGCACACCCTGCCCGTACCATCCTCATACCCAGGTGGCTGCGTCATGTACACATCCTCCTCTAAAATCCCATTGAGGAATGCCGTTGATATATCCATCTGAATGATGAATTTCCCACTAACGGTTGCATCTGCCAACAAGACACGGAGGGTAGGGGGTTTGGCAGTGGGAGCAAAGATCTCATTGAAGTCCCGCTTCTCCTTCTGCATAAACCCCTTAGCCACCAGCCTACTCTTGTAGATGGTGACCTGTCCCTTGTCATCGGTCTTGATCCTTAGCACCCACTGTTGGTGTAAGGGCCTAATAAACTCAAGCTATTAAGACTTTATCAAACTTAAAACCTCTCCTCGGGGTCACCTCCAAGGGTCCTTGGGTGCCTGGTACAAGACCAGCCCCTATCCTCGGGTCCGAGTTTGTAGAGAGAGGGATCAAGAGGGACTTAGTCAAAATAACAAGAGTACCTTGAACGTCGCGCAGCGTATCGTGCAGACCGTCGATCGGATTAAGCTGAGAATTTCCTATATCGAAGCTCTCTCCAAGAGCTTTAAAATGAGCCAAGTTGCCTGGCGAAAAGTTTTGCCATTACGAAGTTATGGCTCGGACAGCGTTTGCCTAGCGTTGGAGTGCTAGCGTACTAGCGTTGACTCGGGTAGCATTCCGCCGTCGCACCGCGTAGAAAGGAAATTCCAGCAAGGAAGGAATTCGCTTGAATCAATTTCACTATATTCAGGTACAAACAGAGAAGGAATAAATAGCTCTAGCTAGCAAGGACCTTGGGAATCAACCTGGGAACAACCAGGGATGATCCCAAATAATTCCAAGCAACAGAACCAACCTGGCTGGACAAAACAGCAGGTGGTAGGTTGGTAAACAACCTCTGGTTCTGTTTTTCCAACCTAGGAAAACAACAACCAGGTTCAGGTCCTAAAAACAGAACCTGTTTTGTCTTTGCCCAACCAGCCAAATGCTGGTTCCGCTGGTTTCCCCTGGCCCTGTAGCATGCAGATACAGACAAACAACATGCAACCTTCACCTAAATTGTACCCCTATAGTCAACCAAACAAAACAGTACAATTTCGAGTTGGATAGAACTGAATCTGCGCAATCAAGTAAGCCGAACCGCAAAGCTTCCATCTTGGGTTCCTTTGCGAGCTCGTCCTTTCTGCTTGTACTGTTCATAGCGCGTACAATGTTATGCCGAAGCGCACAATGCGTGAGTACCTGCAAATGCTTCAAGCGAAAATTGCGAAAGCAAACAAACACACGAACATTCCATTCATACCCAAATGCATTCGCACACGCATACTCGTACAAACAGACGGCAGGATGTCGTGCAATGTGAATTTGCACCCAACACCCACTTGAATTGTACGGCTTTCTTCCCCTCAGGCAGCACCACCAGCTCCCATGTCCCATTCTCTAGCAGGCTCTGGTACTCAGCATCCCTGGAAACCAGCCACTTCTCCCTATCTGGTCCAGCTAATGCCTCCTCCATGCTAGCTGGTTCCTCTGGTGCAGGGGCAAGAAAACAGTAGGCAGGTTCATCCTCCTCATCCGGATCATAGGTATGCGGTAGAATCAGCAATGCCTCCTCGGTCCCAAGCTGCTGCTCCGCTACATCAGCTCCTGCAGTCAGCTTCTTAGTAGCCATACGTGTACGTCCTGGCCTGGAGACGGGTGTCTCCCATCCCTTCATAACGACACCCTTCGGCTTCTTAGTTTTCCCCTGCTGCTGCTCTCTCCCCTCAGATCCAGCAGCTCCACTAGTGCCAGTCTCCACATCATTTTCTCCACCAGTAGGTGCCTCCGGTACCTTCTTTCCATCACCACCCTCTGCAGCTGCCTCCTCTCCCTCCTCCCACACACTAGGAGTCAGGTCCAGCTGCATGGTGATCTGCTCCATTTGCTGGGACACCCTGGCCTCCGGCTGTTTCTCCCAGCTCCCATACATCATGCCCTCAACAAACTTCACATCCCTGCTGTCAAACAACACACCCTTGGAAGGTTCCCACAGCAGCCATCCCTTGCTCTCAGCAGCCAGCCCCAAATGCACACACCAGATTGCACTCGCCCCCAACTTACTGCGGTAGGTCTTGGGGACGTGGGCGACTGCCATGCAACCGAACACCCTCAGCATGTCCACCGGCGGCTTCCTCCCAAGCCACCTCTCCAACGGCACCCACGAGTCATCCCCAACCTTTGTGAGTACCCTGTTCCTAGCGACGGTAGCGTGCCGAACAGCATGGGGCCACATCAAGTTGCCCAGCCCAGATTCTATGAGCAGCGCCCTAGCTGTCTCCAGAATTGTCCGGTTCGCCCGTTCTGCTACACCGTTAGACTGTGGGGTGTAAGCCGTGGTCAGCTCCCTCTGGATGCCCTGCTTCTTGAGCCAGGCCGTCATCTCAGCTCCAAGGAACTCACCACCCCGATCTGTCCTAATCCGCTTCACCACACACTCCGCTTGCTTCTCCACGAATGGCAGCCAATCTTCCCGTATTGTAGAGGCGGCATGGTCCTTT